CCCCCAGGCCGGGTGCGCCCGCCTGGAAGCAGGCCCAAGCGGGTGGCACGGCGGGCGACCCGACATGATCGGACACCCCTCTGCCCCGGCGCCGGGCCCATCCCGATCCGCCTGTGTGCCGAGGCCTGCGTTGTCCCCCCCCCCCCCCCTGACGCCCGAACCAAGGCTCTGCCGCCCTGCTCCCAGTGAGAGCGGGGGGCTTTCGCGCCATGTCTGATCCGTGCATCGGGGGGGGCGCGGGAGGGGAGAACGGGGAGCCACGCTCAGGCCAACGCGCACACAGAGCGCGTGCGCGGGACCTGGACAGACAGATACGCCTGCCTTACCGTGTGCGTGCGCTGTCCCCGCGCATTCACCTATCCATCCATCCATCCGGCCACCGGCCCGGCCCAGCCTGGCCCAGCCCGGCCACCGGTCTCAGCCCCCGCCCCGGCCGCCGGCCGCACCCCGCGGGCCAGACTGGGCTACCGCGGGGACGGTGGTCGACGCTTCTCCCTTTGTCTGCCCGCCCGCCCGCCCGCCCGCCCCTCGGCAAGTCGGGGCGCCCGAAGCCGGCGAGCTGTTGTCAATAATGGATAAACGCCGGACAGGGCCAAAGACCCACCGTGCCACAGGGGGGCGGAGGAGGACAAAGACAAGGATCCCCTGCTTAGGGGGGGCGGGGGGGGGGGGTGCTCGCATCGGAGACGAACCGCACAGGCGGGAGCCCCGGAACGACGAGGAGCCGCCCGGGCAAGCGCGGAGCGCGTTCGCCGATCACTGGCGATGCTAAATGGAGCCCTGTGGCGTGATCCCATCGGTGCGTCCGGCACGTGAAGAACGAGATCACATGGCATGATCCACCCCGGTCCTGATTGGGCAACGCCCACATTCGGCAACGACCCGTGCGTGCTGGCGCCTGTCCTCCACGCACCCCGGCAGGGGATGATCGCGGCAAAGAAGATGGGCCGTGTCTGTGCCCCGCCCCCCCCCCCGCCCTGTGTTGCCATCTGCTCGGCCGGAAGGGGCACACGAGATCCGGTCCTGATCCGCGACCGTCGCCGGACCCCGCCGCTAGCCACCCCCGGCGGGCTCGCCTCCGTCTCTTGGTCGCGCGGAGCCTGGAACCAAGGATTGCGTGGGAAAGAGAGAGAGAGAGAGAGAGAGAG